ACTGAAGCAATGAGCATGAAACTGAGCAAACTCAGGGAGGCAGTGAAGGACAGGAAGGCCTGGCGCAATATGGTTCATGGGGTCACGAAGAGTCGGACACGACTTAACGACTAAACAACAAATCTTGATAGCTGTTCTCAGAACTTGCCCTAATCTGCCACTTTTTTTTCAAGATTTGGTGGCCAGAACTCAACCAAGGTTGGAGTAGAAGACCTCCAAGGTCCCTTCCAAACCTATAATTCTATGAGTGTTCCAAGCGGGCCCTGATCAAGGCAGAATACAATGGAGCAATTGCTTCCCAAAACAGAATTTGCCTTTTCAGTAGCTGCATCACACCGATGGCTCATCTTCAACTTGTGATCTATTGAGCATCCAGATCCTTTTCATATGCATTCTGCCAAGCGAGGTCTTCCCCATCTTTTTTTTTTCTTCCCAGATGCAGGGCTTCATATTTCTCCATTAAGTTCCCTCCTGTTCATGTTGGCTCACCTTTCATGCCTGGTAGTCTGGTATGATTTGTTTGTGACAAACTCCTGTTGGCTTTTGATGCATTCATGTTGATCATTCCTATCCAAGTGTTCACAAATATTAAAAAGTCTGTTTGAAAACCTGGCCAGTTTTGATGTCAGGCTGGCAAGTTTTTAATTTCCCACGCCCTCCTCCTTTTTTTTGAAGGTAGAGACATATGCTTTTGACTTTTGGGGCCTTACTAGTACTCCAGGTCTCCAAAATTACTATTAATTGCTATTTTATTAAATTAGCACTAGTTCCACCACATGAAATTGCCACTTCTTCTGTCATGGAATATTATTTATTGATGATCTGAGTTCATTAAAATCCACATTCATGAATTTGGACATTTGACTAGAATTACAGTATTAACATAGTTGGTTTCTCCCAAATTATGGACTTATTGCTTTCAGTATCTTGCTATTTCAACAGTAGAAGCCACTGGGGAATGCTAGATTAGATGGAAACCTGCTCTGATTTAACAAGTCACATCACTATTGCAATATAGTATTAAGATAATCTGATCCCCAATTTTTTTTTCTTCCTAGCATTTTTCCCAGAAGTGCAGGGTCTGCTTCTTTTGGATCAACCAAATGTGGTTGTGACAGGAATTGACTGACCAGCCTGTCCCATTCTATAAATCCCACTCAGTGCAGGGGGGCTCACCTTCATTTAAATGTTCATAGGATTGTAGCTTCAGTATTATGACTAAATCTCTTCTTGCTATGGGAAACAAGTCCTTTAAGCCTGTTTTGGTTTCACATGTGAGAGATTTGCAAAGCTTGACTAGATGATGTCTTATGCTCATGAAGTCCATACAGATGTTCTATTAGTTCTCTATGGCATTCTACAGACTACTGACAAGATCAAAGAAAAATAGGCACATGCTGGATAGTTGTGCAGGCTTAAGTGGAGAGGTATTGCTGCTTATAAAATGAATAGCAACAAATATCTTTAAAATTCATTTCTCTGGCTTGACAATGTTCTCTCATCTTTTCTGAAGTATACTTATAATGAGGTGAATTTATGTTAACTGAGAAGTAAGTATAACTTATCAGCCTGGAATTTAAGGTGGGGATGACTAACACTACAGGACCTGCTACTGCATTAAGATGTTCAAGGGCATCTGTTTATCCAGACCAATTTGTCTTAATTGGTCATCACTTGTTTAAGAATGCCTACTGTCCTACACACAGTATGACACCAAATTAGGGCAGGGTTTCTACACTGTCCATTTTGCTGTCATTATGTATCCCTTAAAGAAATCTCAAAAGCCTCCTGACTCTGGTCCACTTTGCTTGCCTTTCAGCTGGCTGACATTCTGCCCTTCCATGATGCACTTGCCTACTTTCTTCTCAATTACCATGAATAAAAGACACAGATTCCTCTTCTGATCCATCTTTATTTGTAAAAGTCCAGATATAAAATCTTAACATTTCTTTAAAAAACCTGAAAAGGCACGTTAAAAACTATTGTATTTTCCACCCCAAAGCCTGGACTATATTAACACTACCCATTTTTTCCATTCCATTATTCTTCTTGCACTCTCCACTTGCTTTCATCCTCCAAAGCTTCCCTCTTCCTGCATTTCAGGAACAAAAGCATGGAAGAATGTCAAGAGTGCAACTACATCTGGTCCAGCAGTCCTTTAGTAGTAGGTTTCTTTTTCCACCCAGCCTACAGAGAAGAAAACAAACAAACAAGTTATATATGCCATTTCTTAATGCAAATCCTTGATATCAAAGGCAAATTAGAGAACACAGAAATACTGAGCTCTGAAAGCACAGGTGGATAAGTCAAATGTAACAGGTGTTATAATGTAAATTCATGCTACACAATAGCAGGAACTACCTGGCCTTCCAACTGAGCCCTCCAAAGATGCTAATAGGAACCTGCCTCATTCATAAAGTTTATTATAATAAAATGTATTTATGTTTCATGTCTGAATCCTTAGATAGCTTTCTAGATTACCACAATGTACCTACTACATCCTAGTATGCTGTTGAGTAAATAATTGCTTACCTCCAGGGCTGCGTCTGAGGATTAATTTTCTTACTTCATCGTATACAAAGATGAGGAGAGAGTAGGGGAAGGCACAAAACCACCATAACGGTCTGCAAGATTAGAAAATCAGTTGTACCATATATGACATAACTGATGGTTAGCAAGAGCTCAGTAGCTTCAAAAACAAGGATGAACATATAATTTAGAATAAGCCCAGCTCCATTCCTTTAATACATCACTGAAGGAATTAAAAATGATCAACATTATGCTCAACCCAGTAATAGCAACTGAGGGATAGTTGAGCTAATTATCAGCTTCACAGATCCAACATTACTCAGTCTTACTTCAGTGGGTACATTCTCAAGGCAACATCCATTCCTGGGCAGTAAGAGAGGAACGCAGCCAGAGCTGTTTCTTCAAAGAGACCAAATATTAGGATCTTGTTCCTGTGGAAGCATCAAGATATCAAAGTTGATTTTAGATCCTATGTGGAAGAACAACCTACTAGGCTCTTCAGCTTGTAAATTTGTTTCCCCAAAGTTGCTGGCCTATATTATCCCCAACTTCTGTGATATTCAACCAGGCAAAGGCCACAGAAAAAATGCACTTGTTAAAAGCCTGCTACTTACTTCATTCCTTGCTGGAAGACAGAATTCCTTCTGGTCTTACAGATAACCAAGTCTGCCCATTGTACCACCACAATGCTGACAAAGAATGCTGTGTGGCAAGTGAATTCTACGATTTTCCTTTGCTCATAAGTCTAAAGAAGATTAAGAGGGAAAAAACTGGTTATTGGGCTTGTTCCTTACTGCCAATGGAACAGAGATCCATCAGGAATGCGATTAGTAATGTCTGGCAGCAGTCCCCTTAATCTAAAGAGAAACTTACCCACTGCTGTCCATAGCTGTCTTCCACATCATTTACCCATCGGTCATCCCACATCACTCTAATCCCCAATAAGGAGGATGGCAAGAAGCCATTCTCTGCGAGGATTACAAAGTATGTGAAGAAGCCACCCAAGGCTTGGATCATCCCTAAAGGAATAGATATAGATGAGCAGATGTAAGTAGTTTATGCATACTCCAAAAACATGTATGTCTCTTTTGTGCTTTATTTTAACTCGTCTTATGAAACTGAAAATATTTCCCCATTGACATAAGCAGTAGTCATATTTGAAGTTCACTTTTATTCAAATGATGTATTTGCATAAAAACTTACTAAGGACAAAATGTCAGCTACTGCTGCACTTATCTCTGTAATAAAATACACAAGACTGCAACTTTCCAAATTCCAGCCAAGTCTATGTTCATCACATTGAAGGACTAATTTTGTTGAGGTCTCTTGCAAAGTAACTGTACAGAGGGGTATGCAAGATGGCCATTCCAGGAACCAACACCGCCTTCTTAAAGGTACCTCCCACCTAGCGGCTAATATCTGCTCCTAATATCCAGTTCTCTTTTATCCTCTTGGATCTCTTACCTATTCTCATCTTTCCCACTGAAGAATTCACCTGTCTCTTTCCCTAGGCGTACAATGCAATATTCCTCCTTTTGCAGCTTCCCTTAATTATATAGGCTTTCAATATTACTAACAAAACTAAATTTCCATAGTACGCAGGTCATGATTAGTGAATTTCTCAATCAGCCAGAATCCTGCATATACTAGCTGGATTGCCACTAGTAATTGCATTTTTCCATGTGAGAAGTGCAAGAGTGCACACCTTCCCTAGCATGTGAGGAAATAGAGACTTGCATGCCTTATCAGTGGAAACTGATCTCTGAAAGCTAGTACAGACTGCTCTGGATACTTATACAACTGTGGCATCAAATTTCAAGGTGATATGAGCAGCATTCTGTATGTGAGGTTAGAAAATTTGTCATAGTAAGTTCACTGTTTCCCCTGTCCCACTGTTTCTAATATGCAAAATAGAACTGGCGGGGGGGGGTGTACATAGTTGGAGGAATGCATAATAGCATGAATGGCGTGTCCAGTGCCTATTTAGATTTCACATTCACTTTTCCAGCATCCCTGCTTGCCTTCCATTAAAGGAATGCAGTGCTTTAAAAGGTCTGCCATCTCCTTTCTCATACAAAGCATTTGCCATACTTCTGAGCAATTGCCCTTCCACAGAAAACAGCCATATCCACTCACCCAAAAGAGGTACAGGCAGGTGCCTCTCCACTTACCAATCTGACCATAAGCCATGCTAATCAGCCTTTCGTTTACCAGTTTGTCTGTCTTGGGATTTCTGGGCTGTCTCTTCATGATGTCACTTTCTGCTTGCTCATATGCCAGAGAGATTGCAGGAACCTTAGGAGCAGGAAAGAGAAGTTGCAGGATTAAATCAGACTTCATAATCTGTTTCATATATGAATCAGCATCATCCACACTGAAAAAGCATTTGGTCTCACTGCAAATATTCATTCAACAGAAATATATGTCTCATTCTATGGAGTTGAGGGGGTTAGTTGCAGTACAAATTAATAAAAAGCCTGCCAGATTTTACTAACCATATCAGTGCCCAAGTCAATGCACAAGATGGTGACTGTCCCCAACGGTAGGGGGATGTTGGCAATTATGAAGATAAGGAAAGGCGTAATCTCAGGGATGTTACTGGTCAAGGTATAGGCAATTGATTTCTTCAGATTATCAAAAATCAAGCGACCTGAAAATAAAGAGCACTTTAAAATGAAAAGAAACAATATTGTCACACACTTGAGGCCAACCTTCCTTTCTGCACAAACCCCTTAGAAGACAAGGTTTAATTCACTCTGATGAAGGAAGACAAGGAAAAACCCTCCACAGCAGAGCATACATTAACTAAAAGCAGATGGAAATTTAGCCAACTGACAGGTGGAGAACACGTCCACTTTTCCAAGAATTAAACGGGGAGTTTTCCATTCTTGTATAAATACAGCTCCATGCACAGAAACCTCTAGTACTTGGAATATAACATGGGAGGAGAGGAGGGAGACAAGTTCTCTTTATTAGAAAACTGAGCTAGGAATTTACCTTCTTCAACTCCAGTAACAATAGAAGCAAAGTTGTCATCCAGCAGAATCATGTCAGCTGCCTGTTTAGAGACGTCTGACCCAGCAATGCCCATAGCAACACCAATGTCTGCCTTTTTCAAAGCAGGGGAATCATTCACACCATCTCCAGTGACAGCTACAATAGCACCCTGGAAGATTAAACAAACCCTTCTTGTTTCTAATCACTTTTATTTCAAGGACAGTCTAAAATGATACGGGTTTCCCCTTTATGAATTCAACTCCACCATCCACTCCACTGCCACCGAAAAGGACAACTTCTACAAACATCAATGATTCGACATCCATTACTCCCCAATGGGGAGGGTGCATAGGTTCAGTGTTAAAGCATAGGACTGACACTGAGAGGCCAGACTGAATCTCCAGCTAAAAGTGTTTCAGATCAGAATGGAAGAGATCTACTGCCAGACAGTAATGGGCCACTGGATATGCAATTATGAAACAGCGAGGCATCAGGAAGTTATGCAGAGCAGATCAATGAAGGAAAAAACCCTGCAGATCTGCAGTGGAGAGAAATGCAAGGGAGATATTATTTTGGCTATACATTAAGGCAAACTTATTAATTAATAATAGAACAGACTACTCAGGGAAGTCGTGGCCTCTCCATTACTGAAAATATCTAAACAGAGACTGGACACCAATTGTCAGGCTTTCATTTTACACTGACAATCAGCAGGTGGAGGGGGTAGATCACTTCCAAAGTCTAAAACCACTCTAAGGTTTTATACAGAATGGGCTGACCGACATGCAGGGAACCGCTCTGCTTACCTGCCGTTGGCAGCCTTCTACAATAATAAGCTTCTGTTGTGGAGAAGTTCTAGCAAAGACTATTTCTGTATGGTGTTGTAGAATATCATCTAGTTGTTCACTGGACATGTCCTTCAAGTCAGACCCATGAATCACACAGGCTTTGGCATCTCTGTAATTTAAAAGATGGTAGGTTGAAAACTGCAGATCATTCCTTCAAACCTTGCTATCCAATGAAAACGAAGAGACATCCTTGAACGTCCCTTAGATCCTAGTGACTGTGCCCATACAGTTTTCTTGGCAATGCAATGGAAGTGCTTTGCCAATTGCCTTCTTCCAGTGTTTCAATTTCCTACTCTAGCCAACAGTCCTGAAATTATGAGGTGATCCCCCAACCGAGTGTTAACCAGGGCTCAACCCTGCTTAGCTTCAGAGATCAGCCCCACATTGCTATGTGCTTCCATCTACTGAAGTGCTGCTCTCCCATGCAGCAATGGAAGCACTGAGCTTGCTTTGCTTCAGGGCTCTGCAAATCATTCTGTGCATGCAGAGTCTGTGCCCAAACCCATTTCATGCATTTTTTATCAGAGCGCGGAATGAAACAGAGGCTGTTTTTATAGGCAAAAGTCGCTTAGGAGTAGGGAGGAGCCAAGTGTCTGGGAAGCTAATGGGGAGACTGAAGGCAAGTGGGCTTCATCTGCCCTGAGATAACAGGGGTGATGGCAGGTGAGAGGGGAGAGGGGGAGTGGGGGCCAGTGGAAGCTTCCAAGGGAAGGAGTACAGAGAGGGAGCCTTGCCCTATTTGCTCATCCAATTTTGCTTCAACTGAAGCCTAGAACAGCCAAAGTGGTCCAGGTTTTGGCTTTGGCAAACTGGTTGAACTAAAGCAATTGGCAGAACCACCACAAAGCATTTCTTTGTTCTGGGTTCGAAGCAAACATTTTCCCTTTGCATGCACAAACCTTCAGAAGGACACAGCTGCCTAAAATGATTAAATATTGTAAACAGCTCTTAATTTGAAAAAAGGAAAAAAAATAAGGAAACAAAGCAATATTGAAGCCCCCTTTGGGTAAACAGTGTTAACAAACTGGTTAACTCTGTTTATCCAAAGTGGACTTTTATGTTGTTCTACTACTTTTCCTCATACCCTACCAACAAATATTGTTAAATGTTAGAAGAAAGAAAGAAATTAGCAGGCTTGCTCCAGTCTTTCCCAGAAATGCTCTACATTTTTCACTCTAACTGGACCAGTACCTGGAGTTGACCTGGCTGACAGGGATGTTGAGGCGAAGAGCAATATCTTCCACAGTCTCATTTCCTTCAGAGATGATGCCTACACCCTTAGCAATAGCTTTAGCTGTGATGGGATGGTCTCCTGTCACCATAATGACCTACATGATGAAATAAGTCAACATCAGCCAGTGGCAACAAAGACAAGGTCCAGGAGTCTTTTCAAAGGTCACTTTGCCTGACCCCAAGCAGTGACAAAGAAGCTGGTGCTGATGTCAGTTGTTCAAGAGAGACATAGGAACTGGCAGTGATCCTAATCCTTTTGAGATGGAAAGGGAGGCTACCAACAGGTTTAGCTTATCTCTCTCTCTCCACCACTCTCATCCTTCACCTGTAAAGCTATCAAATATAGCCCCTTTTCAGTTATTTGGTGCTATGCTTTTTTTAATTGATTTTTTTAAAAATAATAACAAAGGAAACAAAAAACCACAAAAATAATTATAATGTAAATACATACATTCTCAAAAAAAGAAGCAATACAAAGAGTGCTTTAAAAAGGGCGAGAAAAGAAAAAAAAGTAGTATACCATTACAACTATTACAATTCTATACTTATCTAGTATAAATATAATTCAAGTCCACATATATTTATTTCTAATACATATTTATAACTATCATTAGTCTTTAACCTACTGTATTTTGTATAAATGAGTTCCATATTTCATTATACAGGTAGTCCTTGACTTACAACCATTCATTTAGCAACTGTTCGAAGTTACGACAGTGCTGAAAAAAGTGACTTATGACTGGTCCTTGCACTTACAACTGTCACAGTGTCCCTGTGGTCACGTGATCAAAATCTGGGCACTTGGCAACCGGTATGTATTTACGATGGATGCAGCATCCTGTGGTCATATGATTGCCATTTGTTACCTTTCCAGGGGGCTTCCAACAAGCAAAGTCAATGGGGGAAGCTGGATTCGCTTAACAACTGTGACAAAAAAGGTAGTAAAATCAGGTGCAACTCATTTAACAACCGCATCACTTAGCAACAGAAGTTCCAGTCCCAATTGTGGTTATAAGGCAAGAACTACCTGTATTGGTCCATACAAAGTCTATGTCTATAGGCAATCCACTCAGGTGGCAAGTGCGATCAGGTCTTCAATCCTTTGACCGAAGGGGGCCATATATTTATCTTTCCAATACCATAGTATCATCCTTTTGGCCATAGTAAGGGCACAGATAATCAATTTACATCAATTGTACAGTCATCAATTTCCAGGTAATAGATATGTAATTCAAGAGAATATTATCTGCTAAAAATTTAAATTTTTGTTGCAGAGTCATATTTATGTAATCCAGTACTTTCTCCCAGAATTTAGTAAGTATAGGACATTGTAAAAACATATTTGGTACTATGCTTAGCCTTAAATATTTGAGGGGATGGGTTAGTGATGCAGTTTTACCTTTATTCCAGCACTTCTGCATTTGCCAACAGCATCAGGCACAGCAGCACGAGGAGGATCAATCATAGAAATTAAGCCAACAAAGCATAACTTCTCTACAGGGAAGTTCACATCATCTGTGTCAAACTGGAAGCCTTCAGGGAACTGCTCATCAGGCAAAGCCAGGTGACAAAAGCCTGAAAGAAATCCCATTTCTGTTATTTGTAGGCAAACAGACCAGGGCAGACATTCAGCAGGGATTACTGATGGCTAAGCCACCCAGCTCTATCTGTGAAGGCTCTGGGTATTTGACACGGGCCCCTAGGAAGCCAATGGAAAATATTCAGCTAGACACCCTCTCTGCCACAACGCTGCGGTGAGTGCTTGACAGTTCAAGTGCTGCTCACCCAACGGCTAAATGCCTTCATCATGGTTTACAAACATTTCATGCAATCCCTTTCCTGTAATAAGGTGAGCCAGCAGGCAATCGAGTCCGGGGGCGGGGAGAGTCCGGAGGATTGTCAAAAGAGCAAGGCAATATGACTGAAACCCTGCCCTTTTTGTATACATGCCAGCAGGTACAAAGGGGTGGAGCTTTAACTGCACTGCCATAGCCACCATCTTTCCTCTTTGGGGGGGCCCTGCAGGCACCAAGGCTAGCTGGCAGATTATTCTAAGACAAAAGGGGACCAAGCAAGAATTCAGTCAGGCATCTTACCCAGAACTCTCTCCCCCAAGCCTCCCAGTTCAAGGTAGGCATTTTGAAATGCATCTTTGGTCTCCTCATCCAAGGGAACTTCTTTTCCATGCATCAGGATGGAGCTGCAACGGTCCAGAATTCTCTCTGGTGCACCTTTCATCACCAACAGGTATCGTGATTCTGACGCGTTTGGATTTTTGTGGATTGACAGCTGCGTATTTTTAATACTAAAATTAATACTAGTATTTTTAATACTAAAATACATAGTTAACTGCCCTTTTGGAAGGCATTTCATATACTGGTTTGGAATATCCTTGCAGATGACAAAGACAGAGAGCAAAAGAGCAGATCCCTCGCAGCCAGAGCTATAATCTGACTGATGCATAACCTAGCCTGGCTGGATCTGAAGAAAACAGCAACACAGCCCAACATAAAAGATGCTGAATTTGTCCCCAGGGATTCCCTCTGGGAAAAAGCAGGGATTTCTTACTTGGTATTTATTGGTAGAGTTGAATGGAATCTCCACCACTTTGGGGTTCTTGTCCCTCAGTTCCTTGACAGATCCACAGCAAAGTTCAATGCATTTTAGGAGTGCAGATTCAGAAGCATCTCCTGCCACCGCTCTCTAGCAAATGACACAGCAATTCACAATAAGGTTCTAAAGCCTTTAGAAACCTTAAAAGCTTTAAAGCTTTTGAAGGCAACCCTCCCCCTCTTCCAAATAAACATAACTTTACAGATAAGGCATATTTCAGTATTCTGTGAAAGAAAATCAGTTAGGTTCCTCACTTTTAACAAGAGGCTACTCTTAAGTAGAAACCAACAAAAGTAAATATTTTTGCAGCAATACAGTAAACAGCAGATAGGCCATTTATAATTGATAATAACTATAGAGTGGAACACAATGTGCTCAGTGCTAAGAGAAGGCATAAGCCATCTGCAAATAATTTAACAAACACATGATACCTCAAGTCTCTTTCTACAAGTTACTTTCAGGTTGTTCACATGTATGTTCTCTTATTACTAATGATACACCAGACCTGTATCATCTCCACTTCAACTAAATTTAATGCAATCCAGCAGCCATGTATGGAGCATTGGAGCATTATGGGATTGATAAACTTCATGTGTTTGTTGCCTGCCAACATCAGGCAGTTTGTCAAGCACTTTGCAAATCACAATACCTATCCAATGTTCTTTTCAGTTTAGGGCACACAAATTGTATTGTCCTTCTCATATCACAGAAGGGAAAAAACCCTACTGTTGGAAGAAACTCTTTTGTATCACTGATAGAATTTCCAGTAGATTCTTGTTCTGTGCAAATCTGTGAACTAAATTTCCATTCAAGGCTCTAGTAACCCTAGTCAACAACACTGCATGCCACAAGAGCAGCTTATAAACGAGGAAATGATGCTAATCTTCCTCAACATTAAAGATGCTGCTGTGCTGCCTTTGCTAGTAGCAGAAATGTTATTTTCTAAGGTACTTTTTCTTTATGCTGCTTCACATTAACTGTAAGGCCATAGATGGTAGGCAAATGTGTGCAGCTATGGCAACCAAACCAAGGGATTAACTCACCTTCAGAATGGGAACATTTTCTTGGTTAGCCTGAAATACAGCCCGGTTACATAGTCCTGCGATCTTGGCTAAAGCAGTCCATGTTGGAGATGTTTTGTCAAAAGAAGCACCTAAAGGGAAGCAGCCCAGATGTTCTATGCAGTTCAATGCTCAAATAAGGACACAATTAATTTCAGACTTCTTGGGAAGCAATGGCAGAATGAAGACGGCTACGCAAAGCGTAAAGCCAACAGCTATGGCAGAAAAAGGAGCCGGTGAATAGACTGGTTCCTCAGAACTCCTCTCCGAATTAAGGAGAGGACTAGGATCACCCACAAATTTGCTTCATACAGAAGAGATCATAAAATAGTGATCTCCAATAGGTTTTAGAGCTCTGAGAGCCGGGGGCGGGGGGGATCATCTTGCATAAGCCATGGTTTGGCACCTTCTAAAAGACACTGGGTTCGGCCACTTCCTCTCTTAATCACCTTAGGAAATTGCCTGTTATTGATTGTTTGGATGATAAGAACCTTCAGAAGGGCAAATTTCATTACATTGGGAGACTTTCCTTCTATCTTTGATGAAAGAAATTTCATGTAAGTTTAAGAATTAAAAAGAAAATTTTTTACTTTTGAAAAACAGCAAAAGGAGGATTAGAACGTTGATTTTGGAAAGTTAAAGGGCCAGATGGACTTGAAATAATATTTCCTGTGGGTTGTTGAATATTTCATAATAATATACATGAAGATTTTGAAATTAACTGTAAGAAAGCCCCCTGTGGGAAAATTTTGTTGAATGGAAAATAAACATATAAAAGGGGAGCTTGAAGGTTGACTAGAGGGAACCAGAGAGAACTTCAGATTACAATTAAAGGATAAGAGACCCATTAATACAATGGAGCAATGCTATTTGACTATAGAAGAAATCAAGGATATTTGGGAATGATACAATGTACCATTCTCCGTCACTATAAAAATGAATTTAACAGAGGCTATAGAACAGATTTTACTGGAGAGACTGAGGCTGATCTGAATGTGGATCTGAAAATGGATTTACAAATGCCAGACTACAAGAGCAATATGGAAAAAGATGCCACGCTGGATTTACAAATGAAACCGGCTGATGTCTTAATAATTAAAGGGGACATACAAATAATAAATCAGAAGTGTGACTTGGAAAGGTTTCTTATCTTGGATTTACAAAAGAGATGTGTTAAACTAATGAAGTTTCTGAGGAGACAAAGAGAAAAAGATAAGAAATCAACTTGTGGGACGTTATTTGAAGCGATTAAAGATCAAGCTTTTAAAAAGTAAATGGAAGGACTATAAAGCAGATTCATTCAACCAGGGTTAAAATATATATGTTGTGGTTTCTGGTAGCTATTAATGGAACTTTTTTTTTTTGGACCAGGACTGAATGATGAGGCTTAAAGATTTGTTTATAGACAACAGATAAGATATGGGGAGAGATTTCTTTTGCTTTATTTTTCAGAGAATATATATATATATATATATATATATTATTTCTGGTAGGTCTTAATGGACTTTTGCTGATTAGGACTGAATGATGAGTTTTTACAATTTGTTTATTGTTAAAAAATGAGATATGAAGAGGTTTTTTTACTGAAATATTAGAGAAGGCGTTAAGTTTCTGAAACTGTCTATACTTGTTTGGAGGGAGGAGGGAATCATTTCTTTATGTATCTTTTTTCTTATTTTTCTTCTTTTTTATTATTCTTTTTTTCTTTTTCTCTGCATGTTTTACTTTTTTCCTTTACTTTTCATATTCTTCTTGTTTATAGTCTTTTATTAAAGTTTGCATTTGTAAACTTTAATAAAAATTATTATTTAAAAAAACACACACAATTCATTTCCTCTGCCACACTTTCCCCTTGTTTGATTTAAGGACACTATCACGCTGGACATTGCAGAGCAAAATTCTCTCCTGCATCTTCTTAATTACAAGCTTAGATGCAGAAGAAAGATCCATTCCTGGCACAGTGTAGCCATTAACAATAGCTGTAGGACAGTTTGAATAACTGCCACCTTCTACATTTTCAGATGAACTATGACCATTCCTTCTGTATCTAGAAACAACCATTTAAGGTCCATTCTATAAAACATAAACATTTAGGTGACTCGGGAAGAACTCCCTGGGTAATCATGGCTATTTTTGTTAACATCATACACACTTTATACCACCACATCTCTTTTCCTTTTTAACAGTAGTCTGTGGAAGGAATTTATGAAGCTTCTAAGCTGGTTCCTCAATGTTGCAATTTTAGATGGTTACAGTAAAAGCAAGATGCTATGCTATGCTGCTGCTGCTGCTATGAAAATATGTATTACAATAGAAGGGCAATTTTTATATAGCTTCAATAAATATGGAAAAATACACTCTGAACAAATACATTTTCTCCCCCTATTTTTCCTTTTCAATTAAAAATGTTGGCCAAGCAGAAGGATAACTATTTAGTGATATCTTTTTAATAGACCAAATAAGAGTGGAGGATAAACTTATAACCTAAAGATTTTTTCTCCTTAATTTTATGGGGAAAAGTGGGGGAGAATCCAAAAAAAGTCTCTTCTGCTCCATTCCAAAGAATATACTCCTCTCTATTACACAGGGATGCGGAGGGTTGGAAAAATGTCTATATTATAAACCTTCAGAAAATAGGATGAAAAGTCCTGCAAATTCTGGTGCAGGCTTATTGCCAGCTCTTTATCCTTTCATTAGTGACTTGGTTGTCTCTTTTGTCCTTGGAAGCAGAAAGAAATATTATAGCTGCTTCCAATGACAGGATTTCAGAATTAAAGGAATTTAGAATTTATTTTTTCTCTACAATTAAGCAATCAACAAAATAATACCCTTCGAAGGGTGATCAACTTTCCTTTCAAATATATTTTATGCTTAATATTGTGCTTTAACATGGGACTTCCTATGGTAACCTAAAATGCTTCAGTTTCAGATGAATCTAGACTGACTTTAATCAGTATGTGAAGCACTGTGAATGGATTCTTTTTGGGTGTTCTGGAGACAAAGCAATGTTTTTACATAATGATAGAAACTCAGGCTACAGATCTGGGCAAGCATGATCTTGAATATGAGCAGAAAGCAGTGTCAAATTATCTCTTACAGAGATCAGCCATCTTACCACTCTGGTTTTCTGTTGTGTCAGCCTCATGGATCTGGTTATCGAACCACATGTGAGCAACCGTCATGCGGTTCTGGGTCAGGGTGCCTGTTTTGTCAGAACAGATTGTAGAAGTAGAGCCCAGAGTCTCCACAGCTTCTAAATTCTTCACAAGACAATTCTTACGAGCCATGCGCTTGGCTGTGAGTGTCAGACATACCTGCAAAGTGAAAACAAGGGAGATGGATGCTGCTCTCCATCATGATTTATTTCCTTGGGTCTTTTATTAAAAAGAGTGTGCTATTAACCTCTTTATGGCAACTTACAGTCACTGTAGCAAGCAGACCCTCAGGGACATTGGCAACAATGATGCCAATAAGAAAGATGACAGCTTCTAGCCAAGTGTATTCGAGGATCAATGAGAGGATAAAAAAGGAAACACCAAGGAACACAGCCACCCCAGTAATGATGTGGATAAAATGCTCAATCTCCACAGCAATGGGAGTCTGTCCCCCTTCCAACCCAGAAGCCAACGTAGCGATCCGGCCCATCACAGTTCGATCACCAGTGTTGATGACCACACCACGGGCAGTACCTGAAAACAACAAGGAGGACTATAATTAAGCTATCAGTTAATGTAACTATGTACAATGCAGACACAATGCATATATAACAATGCTGGCTTTCAGCGCAGACAAGGACATCCTTCAGATGCTTCCCACTCAAGCAGCTCGAAGACATTGCAAATACCATTAAGAATGGTGGTACACCTATTTTCATCTCCATCTTATTAAGAATGTTTTATAACCTTTTATTTATCCTTGTTTTCTGCCCTCCTTGCAAAAATTGTCCCCTAATGTGACAATGTAACATCCATGACAGAAGATTCTTTAACAAAGCTTTCACGTATGGCTGCAGAAATGATCTTCCAGCAATCACACATTCATGCTTCAGTTCAAAAAAACAAACAACTGCAACTACTCTTATAAAAATTAACATCCATCAGCTCCAATATGTGCTGACAGAACTGATGCTTTGCCAAGACATTTCCTAATTTTTCCTTGGTTTGAACAATCTATCATTTCTAGATCTGAGAACTGCTACATCCTACCAATCTTGTTGATCAAATATTGGAAATTATATTTACCTTCAACACAGTTAGTGGAGAAAAATGCAATATTTCTAGTCTCTAGTGGGTTATCATTTGTACAATCCGGAGACCTTGTCTGAGGCTCTGATTCACCTGTGAGAGATGAATTGTCCACCTGTGTGAGAAAAAGAAAACATACACATATGGTTTTATGGAAGCACTGGGTGATGCCATGCCTGGATCCTCTGCAGGTCCTCCAGTGTGGTCTCTTCATTTTTATTGTTAGAATACATACATACCTTACATCCATTGGCTGAAATGATTCTCAAATCAGCTGGGATTCTATCTCCTCCCTTCACCTCCACTAAGTCTCCAACAACTACACCTTCAGCATTGATGCTCAGCTTCTCCCCATTTCGGATTACCAGAGCTTGCTGCAAGAGGAGAAGCAACTTTCAGTCCTTGAATACGTGAGCCAGCTTCACCACCAATTTGTGACTGAAGATACATAAAGAAACCGTTTAAAAAAAAAAAAAAAAGCTGAAGCCACAGCACTTCCATACCTGAGGTACCATGTTTTTGAATGATTCCATGATCTTTGAACTCTTTGCTTCTTGGTAGTAAGAGAAACAGCCAGTTATGATAACAACAGCAGCCAGCACAACACCTAGATACAACTACAAGTAGATACAAGTATATGTGAGTCAGTCTTTTAAGTGGTATTACTCACTCACACACACCCCACAGTAAATTCTGCTCTGTGTTTGCAACATTAGTTGTAGGCAGTCTATTTTTATAACAGTGCCCGCAAGGATTATATGTTGCTGATGAAGAGAATATGTGAAGAGAAGAAATAAAAAAAGAAAAGAAATGGGTTAGCAAATAGCAAACTGTTTTCAGGTCAGAGGGAGAAGGGACCAATAACTTAATCCAGTGCTTAAACTAAAGAGAGAAACCTGTTGTGAAATTTTAAGATTCTGGTGTTGAAGTAGGCCCACCCTCAACTTGGCAGGCAAAGTGCACTAGAAGAACACAAACCAAGCTTTCAAAAGTTTCAGCAGGTACATAACATAAAAATAAATGTCAACATTTTTCAAACTCATACAGATGTCAATAATGAAGTTCAGGCAGATCACAGTTAGGCTACGCAGAAACCTGAGTTCAAAGAGCAAAATGTAATTTGAGCATATGTAAGAGCACACATAGCACTGGGCTCAGATTGCTGAACTCTACATAATCTTGGGAAAAGAGGCATCTGGTTTAAGGTGACCCTTATGGGTGACATACGCACATTCTAAATCACATTTTGCCACTCCAATCTGGATTGCTGCATAACTTTAGATCATAGCCACATTTATACTTAGTCCAAGCAAAAAGGAAAGTCACGATCAACAAGGACAAATCAAAGCTTCAGTTCCTTGTGTTTTCACTACTGTAGAATATACCCTCCCCCCAATTCTGGACAACTGTGAGTAGCTTTGAAGTAAAATCTTCCAATAGCCTCTTCTGAGGTCCACATCCAATGTGTTGACATATTGGGGCATCATAATTTCCTGTTACATCTGAACCGAGCTATTCAGTAATACCTCCCATCCTCCCTCCCCTCCCCTCCCCTCCCCTCCCCTCCCCACTCACATTGTCATTATTAGGCTCTTCCCCTGTTGCAGCTTGAATACCAAAGGCCAGAAAGCAAAGAAGAGCTCCAATCCAAAGCAGAAGGGAGAAACCTCCAAAGAGCTGCCGGCAGAATTTAACCCATTCTGGGGTCGTGGGAGGGGGAGTAAGAGCATTGGGACCATCACGAGCCAAGATTTCTGCAGCCCGTGCAACAGTCAGTCCCTAAGATACAGAAAGGGAATGAGTAATTCAGTTACAGAAATGAAACATGGCAGTTACTCCAGAGTAGTATAGTTGTCAAATTGCAGCATAGTAGAGTTGCTTTCTTAAGCAACAGATAAACACGTTTTTCACTGATTCATATTTTCAAACAACATCTTCCAAATAACTTCTTAGTCATTGAAAAATATGCTCGATTAATATTTATCTATTACAATTGTATGTTGCCTGCTTGAGTAATTCTCAGCGGCTTATAATAGTACGTTAAAATCCATAAAATCAAAATATTAAAAACATTACATCTTTAAAAAACTGATGCTGTCTTCCAATACTTTCACTGACAAAAGACTGCAGTCCTTAATATAATTACCATAATGTTATCCATTTCAAGTATGTGACAGTCATAACCTCTGAATGATTTTCTAGTATCTTCTACAGTGATTCAATGCACCAGCATTTCACAACAAATGTTCAAGCCAAGTTGGGGAAGGGAACACAACTTCTGACAATTATAAAATGTAAAATGAACTGACACCTTACTCCTGGAAGCTGCTACCAGGCATTTCAAATCAGAAAACTCCTCCTTCTCCATCCGAAGCTGACCAACTTACCCGGCTGAGATCGGTTCCATATTTCCGATGAAGTTCATCAAGGCTGAGTTTGTGATCATCCTGCAAAGTCAAGAAGATTAGTGAAGCCTCATTTAGGCATCCAAGAGTACTAACAATGTATCCATGGAGTTTAATCATACCAATAGCTGGAGAGAATTCCAAGCTGATAAACAATTTAAGTTTATGTGAAGTTCAAACCTGGGTGTGTCAAGGGGGAAGAAGGCACTATGTGGTGTTAATTACCAGAGCCATTTTTACTACCCGTCAACCAGACTGACAAGAGATGGGAAATTCTCCAAGCACATTTGGAAAACCTTTAAAATCCATGATACACCCAAAACAGTCCAATCTGTATCAGGCAGCCAGCTTAAAATAGCTAGAAAATTTGACAATTCATACCAAGCCAAAAGTTATGTTAATTTCTTCACCCCTAATGCAGGTAAAAATTGTTCTTACCAATGACACTTCCTTTTTAAGTTCATCCATATCCCTTTCTTTCTTTCCTTTTTTCTTCTTGGCTCCATTCTCAGATGTAGCTGCAGGTTCATACTTGTCACGTCCAGTCTAGATGAAAATCAGCGACACAAGGATAAAGAGCTGTGTCACACTGAATCAGGCCACTATTTTTATTTTATTTTACTTATTTATTTGAATTTATTAACCACCCAACTCCAGTTGACTAGTTCATGCAGTTCTGTATTTTTAACTTCTGATTAGCTTTTCCAGGGCTTTAGGCAGAGGTCCTAATGCTATATCTCCCCATCAGAGATCTTTGCTCTCCTATGTAAGACTTCTAAAAGCAATCATTATTGGATGACCAATCCTTCTCAAGTTCCACAACATATTAAACACAGTGGTCTATAATGTGCATAGACGTCTATTGCACATGTCACAAAACAAGATCACAAGACTCCATTTGTAAAGCTGATTTTCATCACTCTTTTCACTCTTATCACTAAGAGTGTTTGGAGCCCGAGTTTGGTTCAGGATGTTTAACTTTGACACAATGTCTGTACTGATATGCCATTGCTTGTGATCATAGAGCAAAATAAAAACATGGATATAACTGCTTTTTAAGTGCTTGTCATACTGGCTTGCTTCACACATGATACTACAGATGATACTACTGCTTGACTATAGCTTCTCAACTAATCACAGTTAAAAATAAATAATAGTTTTATACAATTACAGTCACGATTATTAGGTTACTCATATTGGATATAGGAGTAAATTCATGAAAAAACAAACATAGCAGACAAGAAGCCTTCGAAAAAATTGTTTGCTATACATTTGAGGTTGGAAAGATGATTCTTTAATCTTTGAAATGCATCTAATGTAATAGGTAAATCACTGTTACACGTAAATACTTCAGTTCTAAAGACTTCTCCTTTTCAGAAACATCTTATTTTGAAAGGCAGCATGTGCATCTTTAAAATAAATAAATGAAAATATTAATGAAAATTTTAATTAATTAGTTCTGCATTTTATTATATGGACTGCAATTGCCTCATATATAATGCCTTTGGCTTCAGGGAGGTTAATTTATTTTTAATCCAATTATTTCTAAGAATGTAGTTTCTAAGATCAGTATGTGCAAATATTTACAAATCCTATAACAAAGGAACTATTAAAACTTTAAACTAGATCATGATCTAGACAGGACATTCAAATACCTGTACTTTTTACTGTATCAAATGGACTGTGAGGAAGAAAAAAATTATCTGAGGTTGTTTTGAACTTGACCATTGCTTTTACTCTTATTCTGCTCCAAGGACCTTTTCCCATCCTCTGACAGCTATTATTTGAAGAGTATGTGAAAAACATACAGTACTGACTGCATTCCAGGGGCTAAGACTATATAGATCAGGATGACCTCTTTTCCACTCATCTTTCTAGGCATTAACTCCTTCCTCCAACTGCTGCTTGCAGGGTCCTACTTGGATCCTGAGGACAGAAAATCCCTCCTAGTCTTCAGCCCATTTGTGACTCCTGAGATGTCCACGTGAACATCCTATTTCACAAATAGAGTGAACGGTTCGATTAATGTTTTAAAAATGTATTCCTTAAACATATTCCTGAAAGGGGAAGCCTTAAGAATGGAAGCGCTGAGATTTAACATAATAGAAAACTAAGTTCAGTGCTATGCCTGTTCCCTAAGAAGATAAACAGGGCTGCTCAGACTTTTTAAACAAGCTGTGGAAAATCTGGGCATGGTTGCCAATGGTATCCTTTAAAAGCTTTGCAAAGGATAGGATACTATCAGGACAAAGCAGAGCCTTGTGGAAAGCATTACAGGGCATCCACATGTTTTGTTTCGATGTATTTCTCAACAACTAAATCAAGGAATAATATTTTGTTCATGTTTTTCACAATATGCTCAGGGCTATGGAACATTTGGAAGAACACTGCAGGCTGGAATGGAGCTTTTGTTCTCTGCCTCTTATCTGTTAGAAGGTAGAGCAGAGCTGAACATTCCTGGCATTCCCTTCACTGTACTGTTTCCCTTCTAAAAAGTGGGGAAGGGGAAAACATTTCAGAGAAAGAAAAATACTATATTCTTGGAAGAATGGCATTTCAGCTATCCCAGCTGCTTATTTTAAATACAAGTGAAATGCAAGAAATCTTAGCGCAGGAGGCTGTTTCACTCAGAATCACTTTATACCCCCCCCCCCAACTTCAGTTCAAAAGGAGCACAATCCATGAATAAGAATGTTATTTTAATGTCCCTCAATTCTCTTCCTCCTCCTTCTCACTCACCACTTCGGAACATACATTCCCCTGAACTGAACTACTGGCCTGAGTATAAGCCCTTTGTGTAATATCATGGCTGAACAATTATTTCCAAGAGCCTCTCAAGCAAAGAGCTTCAGATATCTAAATTGCAATCTTACAAAATTTTCTATTTCAATATATGTGGATATTTAATTAGATGCAACATCAAGGTAGCACTTACCTATTTCCTTACCATGCATTTCAATCTGCAACAGGGCAGAGTATTGGACACAACTAATCAACAAGATAAGGCCTCATTAAATCCACTAGTTTCTGGTAAATCTGCAAGAAATTTGTCCAATGAAGAGCGAGCCTGGGCAGAATAAGGATTAGGATGCCTGCAACCAGGGCTGGGCATTCGAACAAACAGTAGTCCATGACTGTACGTGAGGAAGGGAAATTGATCCAAGTATCCAATAATATATCCAGATACTTTTCTTAGGGAGATACAGCCATTTATTAAAGGACAGTAATGTTCTGTTTTTTGATGCTTAAAAAAAAGGACCTTGTCAAAGATGAGCATGAAAAAACAAGCAAACTAAGTTGCTGAATTACCAGACCCACAGTACATTTGTGAATTAAGTTCTTCAATATTAAAGGGTGCGCTTAGTCATGTGAATATATTCACCCAAATGGTAAGTCTGCTCATACATGTAATTTCAAGTAGAAGTCAGTACAGTCAAAACATTTACCTATGCAAAAATTATGCTAGTACCGTAACTCAGGCTATGCAAAACAGTATTACACACCCAGCCAGCTGTATTTCAAAAAGATAGATATGAAAGTTTTAAAGATACCAAGAGTTCTTCCACATTTTATGATTTGCATAATTAATACAGCCAAAACGAAAACCTGAGGACTGCTACTCTTTCAATCTGGACAAGATAAGAGAAGAGAGGACATCGAACAAAGTCCCTGGGAATCGGTTTGCTATTATAATGACATCATAAAAACAGCATCTCAAGGAGAACTGGAGACACTACTGTCCTGTAGCCTTAGCAACAGATGCAGAACAATTATTTTCATATGGCAAATCATGGGCAATGAACTTTTTCCCTAACAAGACTGGGAAAGAAAAGCTCAGATATTTTCTTGAAGTAGTGGCTTATACAGAGCACAGAGGAGGGAAGTGCAGCATTCCAGACCCAAAGCAGGAAAAGTGCTTTGGAGGGGGGATCACTACGTTGACAGTGCCTCCTTACTTCAACTATGCATTTTTCTAGGATCACATGGCTACCATGTGAAAAAAGGCACAGCTTCTTTAAGGAGGTGCCAGTGTCCCCTCCAAAGCACCTTTTGTCTTTCAAATCCAATGTGCAGCATGTCCCTAACCCAGAGGATGCTGCTGTTTGAGGAGTCTAAACCAAAGATCAGCATTCAGTCAGTCACAAGGCTAGTCTGCAATGAGGAAACAACTGGATACTGCAAACCTGAGAACAAAAAGGGATCTTTCATCCAATCCAAGCTAATATTAATCTCTTCATCTTTTTTTTTTCTGGCCAAGAATAAACATACTTGGATCTTTAAGCATATCATGATTTACTTCAGGGACAGGCACTTTTATTTTCCCCCAAAAAACCCTCTTCTAGCCTCCGAGGGCCACAGGAATTATAGAAATGACTTCACAGGAAAGTGAGCCAATTATTTTCTTCCATTCTAGTGTGTGCTTGTTCACTTACCATTTCTATTTTCATGGTTTTTTTTAACCCAAACCACTAAAATTTATGTTGACAGATATTCGTTATTTACCTCAGAATTTTTGCAGCCCAATCTTTGGGACTGCAAAACAGGCTGCATACCTCTACTTTTCCTCAGCAGACTTACCCAGCACCCTCTGGCAGCCAGTCTTCAAAGCAGCCACATCTTTTCCCAAGATTGCACAGCAGCTGCACAGGCAACCAGGAGATCCCAGGAAAAGATGTGGCTTCTTTAAAGAGCTGCAGACAGGGTTTATGCTCCAAAACCTCTTTTTATGCTTGCATCCAAAGTATCACAGAGCCCTATGGATTAGCATTTGGACTAGAGACCAGAGAATCCCGGGGCTGTAGGCTAGACTAGGAAGCTGAGAAAACATCCTGGAAAAAGCCAGTGGCAAATCACATTCCTACTGTGGCTACAAAAAATACATTAAGGTGTTCATGAAGTCACTAGGAGTTGAGCTTGATGTGAATAGACTTCCTTTTTCTACCCCTAGAAAATGTTTGAATGTTTGGTTGCCATCAGGCACAAATCTTCTAGCTATTTCAAAAACAAAAACAAGCAATTTCCTTCGAACAGAGAGGCATGACTCCTGACATGAGATCAAAACCACCTACGTATACTGACTGGAAAGTAGAGATGTGCAAAATGTTCTGCCTGAAACAACTCATTTCAGGGGGCTGTGCCTAAACCAAAACATGCAGGTTTGAGGTGTTTTGGTTCATGTATAGAACAAAAGAAGAGCAGTTTTGCTCCAGGCATGGACTGAAATGCAATTGTTCTGGGCAGAACTGGTTTGCAGGGTAAGAGTGGGGGAAAGCCCAACCCATTGGTGATGGCAGCTGAGGGGAGGGATAGAAGCGCCAGGAAGACGAGGGCATGGGGCCAGTGGGATATGCCCTGCTGGGACACTGCAGGTGGTGGCAGTGGAGGTGGCAGCAACTGAGGGGAGGGAAAGGAAGGAGCTGGGTAGGGCAGGGAGCAGTACAGGTGGGCCAGTGGAATATGCCACTCTGGAGCTGCTGAAGGAAGCAGGGGTGATATATGCCAGCCTAATCTACTTGCACCATCCAACTTCGCTTCACCCGAACCTCTGCACAACCAAAATATTCTGGGT